ATAATTTTCCTAAGTAGTTATAATAATTTGTTTTTAAAAAGTCCACTCTAAAGAAGAAATCAAGCATTGAACACAATATTTGTAATGCACACTACCTATGTAAGGCAATAAATGTTGTACCAGTTTGCATTTTGTAAAAGAAAAACTAAGATAAATAAAAATAAATAATAATAATGATAATAATATTTGTGAAACGTAATCATCACTGAATAAACTGGAAATTGTTGCTTGGAAATATTATACATATTTTACTCTGTAAACCATCATTCTACATTTATTTGGTTGATTTTCTCAAAATCTCCATAAAGTGATTTGTTTTTGAAATTCAAAAACTTTGGAGAAATTCAGACATATACTCAAGCGATTCTTACGTCACCACTGGATAATCACTTGCTTTCAAGAATTATGTTAATTTGTTTTATTTCGTCGTCAGCCTCATATAATGAATGGATAAGCATTTTACCAGCAGAGGGAGCCAGAGGAAGCTACAAGGACTCGCGAGATGAGACAAATCTCACGAATTCGGCCTGTCTCTTTAATTCTCGCGGGATTTCTGATTTCCTCCTCTTTCACTCCCTGTAGCCAACATGGCAGTCGGCAAGAATAAGAGGCTGACCAAAGGCGGCAAAAAAGGTGCCAAAAAGAAGATGTAAGTAGTAAATTTCTACATTGTTACACGAAACAGACTTTGTCCTTTTCAATGGTGTCACTTTGGCATCAGAAATGTGGCGGATGAAAACGATTTTGAATAGATGTTACAGGGCCAGTGCTAGTCTCGTCGTCGCCGGCCCCTATGGCGCTGGATGGAGTAGTAACATGTCGTGTCAGTCTAGTTTGTGTAACTGCATTTTTTCACAACTAGATTTAACCATATCTGTATGTATAATTTATAAAATTCTGAAAATGCAAAAAAGCGTTGAAAGAGTGGAATTTGGCTCCACAGTTACGGTCAGAAACGTTATACGCTAAAGGCTACGAAGTGTTAGCATGCATTTAGCCGAGCTTACCGAGCAACATGGTAGTCAAAGCCCACAGCTATGCGGCTAATGATATAGATAGTAGGTAAATTAATAACCACGAAAGTCAGGCCAAGTGTTTGGGAAATCGGTGAAATAGACGAGGAATATGGTTCCCACGGTACTTGCAAATCCGAACAGTGTCCTTAACAGAAGATGATTAGCTGGCTGGAGAGCAGCTAGTCTGCCTGAGCTTTAGCTCACATGCACGTCCTCCAGAGATTTGGATGATGCTGTGTGTTTTATTTGCTGGATTGTCATTTGTGTTACAACCTTGTCATAACTCTACTCACTCTCGTGCAGTGTGGACCCTTTCTCCAAGAAGGACTGGTATGATGTCAAGGCACCAGCCATGTTCAACATCCGCAATCTTGGCAAGACCTTGGTCACCAGGACTCAGGGAACCAGTAAGTCTGCATTTACTCCATATGTAGCCCTGTGTACAAAAACCTGCAGCAGACTTCTCTGCTAAAGATGTGTCATGTTGCTTCACTGCCTGATGAATGAATGATACTCTTTGGATTAAGACTACAGATCGTGTAGTGAATACACCACAGTTTTTAAGCAATATTTATGTAATGATTAGGCTTGGCTACTCATGGTGATACAATGGGAATGCATGATAAATTGTTTCGTCCCCTAATGATGGCTGCTGATTACTTATGAGATCAGCTGTTTTTCTTGTGACTACCACTTACTCTGTACAGATTTCTTACTACCTTTGAGTCCTTCATTGACGTTTTTCTTGTTTACCTCCTAGGAATCGCCTCCGATGGTCTTAAGGGACGTGTGTTCGAGGTGAGCCTTGCTGATCTGCAGAACGACGAGGTGGCTTTCCGCAAGTTCAAGCTCATCACCGAGGACGTTCAGGGCAAGAACTGCCTTACCAACTTCCACGGCATGGACCTGACCCGTGACAAGATGTGCTCCATGGTCAAGAAATGGCAGGTAATGATCCCGTTTTTCTGTGAACATAATGTCTTTCTGAAGGTTTCACTGTAGTTCATGTGGTAGGTCAGTCGTGGCAGCAAGGTCAAATTAATACTTGTCTGACTCATATTCTGTAGTTTAGATTAAATACTTACCTCTGTGTACAGGTTCCCCATATCTACAATAAAATCTTGTGCCTTTTTGGAAAAATTAAGGATGGACTAGTTGGACTAATCCCTAGAAACTGTTAAAGTAACTAAGGTTGTAACTGGAGAGTCAGTAATTAAAATCTTGGACTTTCTTAGACGATGTAACACTAATGGCCAATAAGGAGTAGCCAACAGCTGAAAACTGGCACAGTGCAGCTTCTGATTACTACTACTGTATACTCTGCTAAGTAATGGCAGGTGTAGGTGAGGGCGTTTCCTCTGAGAAAAGTAGAGTAATGTATTTTGAGGCATAAGCGTTGGTCAGATTTGTTTTGTTAGGACACTGAATGAGATGTGATTATTTTTCCTTGAGATAACTCTTTGAAGAGTTTGAGGTTTCATAAGGACACAGTGACCGTTGTTGTAGAGTCCATGGGGACGTACTGTGGATTTGACCCAGTCTGTTAGAGTATTTTGGACATATCACATTGTGATTATTGTTGTTATTTTGATTGTCCAATTGCAGTGGAATTTAGTAGCAGCAAAACCTGAAACATTAGCAGGAAGACTCATTTCATGTTGCTTCTTTTTGAAGCAAAACAAAATCCTTTTGGTTCGACTTTGTTTCTATCTCAGAAAAGGTACTAGAATCTGGTTTCTGAGCCAAAGTCTTTGTTTTGGTTTTAGGGCTGCACATATCTATTACTTTCATTGTTATTTGTTCGAAAGAAGAAACCAAAAAAGCTTGTTGGTTTTCCCCTTTAAAATGTACTCACTGATTGATTATAAAATGGTTTGCGATCAATTTAATAGTTAATTCATTTATTAATTATTGCAACTAGAGCTGGCTTAAGTATGGGGCGTAGCATTTTCTCACTCTGAAACTTTTATTGAGCTGTCCATATACATGGCAGAACAGATGTTAGGTGAATGTTTAAATAATTTTTTTTTGTTTAACATAACTTTGTAGAGTCATTGGGTCCTTGTATCTTGTACTTGTGATTCCAGCAGAGATTGTTTCTAGATACTGTGATCAATTCAGAAAATAGGTTGTGAAATGTTTTATTCCTAAAATGTGGATGAGTTATGCATATTCATGTGTAATTTTAAAGTTTCATGTTCAGTACAAGGTGAAGCTTAATACTTGTGCACTCTGGTTATAGATTGTGTAAATACATTTTGAGTGAAGCAGAAAATGTGGAGAGAAGCATGACATCATCCTAATCTGGATTGATTTGATCTTTCCCCTCAGACCATGATTGAAGCCCATGTGGATGTGAAGACCACCGATGGTTACCTTCTGCGCCTGTTCTGCGTCGGTTTCACAAAGAAACGCACCAACCAGATCAGAAAGACCTCATACGCCCAGCACCAGCAGGTCCGCCAGATCCGCAAGAAGATGATGGAGATCATGACCCGTGAGGTTCAGACCAATGACCTGAAGGAAGTGGTCAACAAGCTGTAAGTCCCATATAGTTCTTCCATCTTTGGGGATTTGTATCAGAAATATGACTCCTTAGTGATAGAATCATATGAAGACTCGGGCGTTAGTGGTGGCCTAAAGGCTAAACAAGATTTTGAATGTGTATGGATTTGCACGTACCAGCCACTTTTAGAATCAACTATGAAATGGAGTTCAATATAACAGCTTCTGCCACAAATTGGACTTTATTCATGCCTCCCCATTTCTGTTACGTTGAATTATCCCATTTTTTGATGTCAACAAAGACTAAAAATGTAAAAGTAGAATACATGGCAGGACTGTTACATTGGATTGCATTAAATTTCTCAGATTTCAGCTTTTGCTAATTAAATAGATGTTTAATGATGTAGTTTTTTTTCTGTCAAACCGAATTGCTTCAGTTCAGGGTGGTGTAGATTAATGTGCTGTGTATTGTGGAATTCCAGGATCCCTGACAGTGTTGGCAAGGACATCGAGAAGGCCTGCCAGTCCATCTACCCTCTGCACGACGTCTACGTCCGCAAGGTCAAAATGCTGAAGAAGCCCAAGTTTGAGTGTAAGTAAAACGCAGCAGTGTCACTGGGCATCTCTGTGTTTTTGTGGGAACACGTGATGAAAGCTGTTTCGGTCCCATATGATCTCCTGATTACTGTCTATTGAGGTCAACTGATGTTCCCCGACATGACAAAATGCTGTCGAGTGTTTTGGGGTTTTTTTCTGTTGATGACACATAGCAGTTTCTTTATTTACTTGTATCAAATGTCACTATGGCATCCCTGATATTTTAAACTTCAATCATGGAGATTCTTTATTGCGAGGGAACATGTAGTTGTTATTTAGCCACAGTTAAAAACTTTCCTCTTCTTCTGTTTTGTTTTTTTTTATAGTGGGCAAACTGATGGAGCTCCACGGTGAGGGTGGTGCCGGCAGTGCTGCAAAGGCATCCGGCGATGACACTGGAGCCAAGGTGGAGAGGGCTGACGGCTACGAGCCCCCCATCCAGGAGACAGTCTAAAACACCCTGACAGATTTAATAAAAAATGTAAATGACCAACTCACTGTTCTCATTTTGTTTTTGTGTCAGTAATGGAAAGAATGCATTTAGTTCTCTTGTATAGGGTGATGGTAGAACAGCAACTCGCACAAGCAAATAAAATCCTTTGAACAGTTTTGCCGAGACTTTATGAAGTCGGTTTGAATAGAAAAGACTTGCTTTCACTGCATTATATTGCAAGGTGTTAATTTTGTCAACATGTGTGTCCCGTATGGCTACCATCAGGACAGACTATTGACTCCTTATAAGATGCATATAACTCTTGATTTCATATTAGAGACTCGCATGTTTATTCCAATAAGAAAAAAAACTGATGCTTTTTAGGAAGTAAACCACAAAGTCCTGCAGAAATCAAATAATGTTAAACTGATGGGAATAATAATCTCCTGAGGTGGTCTGACCTTTATTTAAAGCCAATTGCATGTCACACTACATAAGGAAAAGACACCCTAAAGTATGGGCCACACTTTGTAAATGGCTAATGGGTGTAAAATAAGAGACAAACCACTAGATGGTGCAAATGTACAGTTAGTAGGGAATCCAAAATGATGAGCTTGTCAAAATCAAGCAAACACATTATGCAAACCATATTTATTATTTATACCATGAATTATTCTGTAAACATTTAATTGCTGCAGAAGAAGAGTTGCACTATTTGTCGATGAAATACTGCATTCCATTTGAAGGCAGCTAAATACAGGCTTCAACTGCTGACAATACATCCCAAGATCCCAGTTAAGCTCAGGTCATCCAGCTGCGTCCCTTTTTTTGTTGTTGCGCTGAGCAGCATGGAAGGCTGTGTGTCCCTATCCCAGCACTTGCACATAGTTTTTAGGGACTAGAGCTCGTTTTCCTCTCAATTCCCCCGAAAACCATTCTTCATCAACGGACTCTAGATTGGTGACGATATCCCCAACCTGTGAGTGAGACACAGTGGACAGATGGGTTTCTTGAACTCATGTTTTTTTTGTAAATTTGTGAAGGAAACTGTAGGAAAATCTCACTGTACCTGCAGAGAGAGCTCCTCATCACAGTTTGATGTGAAGTCATACAGAGCTCTGGCTCTCGCACCACCGGCAGCTCCGTTCTGCTGGTTGTTAGACAGCTGAGGATCTGTGAAAGGAGACATATGCCGAGTCACTGCGTAATAGTCAAGTATTTGAGTTTGATTAATTAATTGACAGAAACGTGGCAAATGTTATGATATTTGTAAAGATCAGTTTAATGTTCAAACAGCAGAGAAATCCCAGTAATTGTGTCTTGGCTCAAAAAACAACTAGAGTAATACGGTCTGTTATGTTAAAGAGCTGTTTTAGTGTTATGAGGTTAAGAAGTTGTTTTCCTTTTTAACCAAACATACAGCAGACACTCTGATTCTCCATATAAATATGTGTAGTCGTCCCCAAATGTATTCATAGCATTCCATTAAAGAAAAGGCAAAACTCACAATATTCACTCAAATAACTACAAACTGAAAAAAAAAAAAAAAATCTGTCATTATTTTTATTCAATTTTTATTTATTATTACGTTTGTCAATTTCAGCACATGTCCGTGACAGGTGTTCCTTCGTTAATGGGAGGGTATGAATACATTTGAGGACGACTGTGTCTTTCCTACCACCCTGACAATTAACTCTAATACATAAAACACTAGTAAACTTGTTGCCAGGTTTAACGTTTTCCAACCAGAGCAGTCCCCCCAATTTAACAGAACTACACCGGAAAAGCTTTCTACCTGTTTTGGCCTCGACAAAAGCCCGGGGGAACATGCCCTCTCTGCCGTTGAGCCTCCCGCAGCTCCACTCAGCGTTAAGGTGCTGGATGATCAGGATACAGTCGCCCTGCTGGAAGGACAGGTCGTCCTCTGAGTTCCCCGCATAGTCGTACACAGCCACCACCCACTCCACGCCGGACTGGGACGCCTGCAGAGGGAGGGAGGAGTCATGGATGCGCTGGCAAAATATTCAGCAGTAGGAAAACTGTGTTGATGCTCTACACGGGGCATCGGATAACCAGTATCATCCTCTCTGATGTTTCTGCTTATACACAGTAAATATTGGTTACCTGAGCAGGTTTGACAGGTTCAGAGTGCGTACTGGGAGTAGCAGCGGCCATTCCTGTGGAAATGGGGAAAAAGGACAAATCTGTGAAATAATTCAATATTGTAGGAAAATGAGGTTGTTGTCTTTGTGTTTTTTTTTCCTAATCAACCACCTGTGGGGAGGTTTACATTCTCATTTTTACATGACTGTTTAGGGTAATTCCAGTAGTTTTGTGGTCTGTATATTTGAGTATATGTAGGATTATACATTTACTTTAGTTCTTTAGCCCTGTAATGCCAAGTGTATCATATTTGATACATGACTTTTTGAGACATCATCAGTGTGATATTTTTTTTTTTGCCTAAACAACCTGATGTATATAATCAGACACATTCAGTGCATGAATAATCCACCATAGATCCTAATTCATGCACCAAAAATGTCAGATGTAGCAAAAATTATACAAATTAAAACTCATATATTAAAATTGCTATTCATTTTTAATTAAGTTTTTTTTTTTTAATCAGTCAGAAGGTTCAATAAACACATTTCATGGTTCAGGCTTTGCAGGGTTAAAACAGAATTTTGATGTTGGATAATAAAACTGAAAAACTTTCCCAATAAATGCAGAGAAAAGAAATACAATGTTTTGAGACAATTTTTAGACCAGTGTAGATATTAGATAGCAGGAACGTTTGTATAAAATATCTATCATGAATAAAATATGAAAACGCCAGATAAAAAAAACAATCCAGGGATTTTTTCCAGAAGGGGGTTTGTCACAACTAATGACCTGCACTCTGTGTTTCTGAAGTTCTGCCTGTGGCCTGGACTTCTGTAAACAATTGTTTAATGAAACAGAAACAAGCACAAATTCCTGACATGCCACAGAGGGAAATGCCAGCAGCATAAAGGAAAAGGGATGAATAAGGGCTCTTCACTGATGGACACAACTGCTCTTTTGTTTTCAAGTGAGGATCAGGACAATAATACGTTGTTGTAGTGTAAATATTCACATTTATCACGTTGACATATGTGTAATACAATCCCAGTTGGCTCTTGGTAACCAGGTCAGCACATAAATGGTTTCTGTGGTGGGTGTTTTCAGGTAAACCTTACCAGGCAGCGCTATCTTGGCAGACTGCTGCTGACTCGGGGGCGGAGACAGATCTTCAATGACCTCTACAAAGTTAAGGGGGAAGATGCCAGTCGAGGCGCCGATCTGTCCTCGTGCCCAGTCCTGTCCCACGTACTCCTTCAGCTTGATCACGTCCCCCTCAGAGAACGACAGCTCGTCGCTGTGCTCCCCCTCAAAGTCGAACCTTGCCACACATCTCGGACCGCTATACGTGACATTTCAAACATCCAGTTAGCTCATCCGGTTAGTTTGTTCATGCCAACGCAAAGATTTTAAGTTGTAAAAACGGTACCTGACTGATGCAGGAGGTGGCTTTGGTTTCTTTTCAGGGAGGGGCCTTGGTGAGTTTGACTGAGTGGAAAAGAAAATTGTCAATAAATCTTAATTCATAGATTTGTCTGACTTGCAGCAGGCTGTGTTGCTACCTGATGCATCGTAACTTACCAGGACTTTGACGTAGTTGATGGGAAAGAAACCAGCAGAGCCCCTGCAGGTTCCTCTGTACCACTCGCCGTCCACCTGCTCCACCATGGTCACCACGTCTCCTGCTCTCAGAGCCAGCTCTCCTGGACCCTCTGAGTGGAACAACAGAGTCACAAACCACAGCCTCCCACTCAAATACAACAAATATCTCTGTTTGCTTCTTTTCAACCTGCTTGTATCTTGTTTTCAAATCCAACATGCAGATAATAGTTTAAATTCTGGGTAACATACTTGTTCTCTTTCTCGTCAAAAGCAAGATGAGAAGTTTGACAGCACTCTCATGACATTTGGATCTGAGGCCAGGAGGTTGTTAACCTGCTCTCTCAAAGGTTTAAAAATATCATAATGTGTATTGTATGTATTCATGCTAATTTACTGGTAAATTATTAATATTTAGAGGCAATTGGAAGGCATGTTTTTGTGTTTTGAACAGAGGCAGGACAGCCTGATCTGGTCCTTCTGCTAAAGTAAAACACTGACCTCCGGTTTCTAACAAAAAGACTGAAAGGTTATCTGGTTCTCCTCAAAGTTACAACTCCCCTACACACTATTTTTTTTTTTTTTTCAGCAAACCACTGCAGGTCAAATCACTATTTTTTTCTGCAATAAGAACTAATGCACAGAATAATAATAAAGTTCTTATCTAACTCTCAATTCACAAAAATTCAGGATCAGTTGCTTAAGTTGTGCCTTTTTAATTTGATAAAGCTCATTAGATAACTACAATTTAAATGATATAAGACCCTTAATGTTGTCGTTCTGCTCAGGACAGCCTCTGTGTTAATGCAGCCTTTTGTTTCTTTCTTTGGGCTCTGGGTCATACTTGTGTTGTTCAGCAGTTTGTACCACTTGTGTCAGAGTTCCCCACTTTGATCTGTGCAGTCTTTAAGAGTCTGCACAAGAGCTTCAGCTAAATCAACAGCTAAACCTAAATCATACACACTTTAAATCATAAAAACATGTGCAAACAGATTATCTACATAAACAGATGTATTTTATACTGTCTATGCACTTTTTAATGACAATATGAAATGTTTCATCTGCTGCAGATTCAGTGTAAACGTTCATTGCTTAAACTACTTGGATATATGTGACTGAACGAGGGTGCATGGCAAAATACATCGATATGGGAATAAATGTTTCTGCAAAAAAGTTCTGCTGGAAGAATAGTAGTTACTGAGATGTGATTTCAGGTCTATGAGTATTAGCCTTCTGTAATTATTATTAGTATTAACATTAGCATTGCCTTGTAACAGGCTTAACTATTGGTTGTGTGGATTGGATAATGGGGTGGTTAGACTTTAGCTTGTGGTGACCACCCCTTATCTTTTTCATTTAATCCTTGCACAGATTTTTTGTAACTGAATGAAAAACAAAGCTGAAAGTTTCCCTCCGTTTCCTGACATTCAGAAAAACTGAAGGCAGAGAGAAACGGCTAGTCCGACTGTCCCCAAAGTGAAAAAAAAGTACACCTACAACTCTTAACCTCACTATTTAGCTCCCTGTATCTTGTTTGCTGAATTTATATTTGGATTTTTCACCTACACACAGAAGCAGACTCGTCATTTCCCCCAGACATTATGCTACGCTGAAGCCGATCGCCTCCAGGTTCTAACTCACAAACCTGAGAGCGGCATCAATCTTCTCTTTAAACTGCCAGCAAGAAGCAAATCAAAGTGTTTTCCGATATGTCAGAATGTTCTTTCAGTACTCTGTCTCAGTTTATTGTTACCGTGCGATCAGCATGCTGTTTGGTTTGCAGACAGTGATGCATTACCTGGAGTGAAGTCATGTAGAGCCTGCACCTTCATCCCATAACCATCTCCACCTGAAGCAGCCGGACCAGCACCCTGCAGAGAGAGAACAAAGACGCTCAGAGGTTAATACATCTGAGCCGACCGCGAACAACGGCGAGTTAGTCTCAGGTATCAAAGAGATAGTCATAAATGTAGGATAAGTTGCCTGTGCTGGAGACATGTCTGAGTCCAGAGGAGTTATGATCTTCATGCGAGACTTGTGCACTCGGCCTCTGATGTCTCCGATCTGGCACTCAAACTCATCGTGGCTCGTCTGTTCCAGCAGCAGAAGCACTTCATTTTTCTGTTGAGAGGGCCGACAAAGGATTTAGCGTGAAGGTGGGACTGAGGAGCTGAGATTTAACAATGTATTGCAGCGTATGAAGCGATGCCTTTTTTATGTGGAGTCAGGCAACACGTATGTTCATAAAACTTGGTAAGTCACCTGAAATGACAATTCCCCTGTATGACTCCCATTGTAGTCAAAGGCTCCAATCCCATGGGGAAGCTGGAGCTGGTGGAAGAGAGCAAAATGTAAACAGATGCTCACGAAGCAGTACCAGCAGACGCAATAACACCATTCAGGCATGCAGTGGGATCCCTCACGGTGTAATTGTTGTAGAGACGGTGACCTGGCTTGGGCCTCGGAGGTAAGATGGGTTTCCTGTGGGGTTTATGTGTCTGGGGTTTAGGTGACGTCTCCCACGTTGCAGAGTGAGATCGACTAGGTGGGGGAGGTCTGCCAGGCCCCGCTTTGGCTGGAGGTGGGCGAGGTGGGAGGGTTTTTTTCACACTGGGCTTCCTGAAATGCAAAACCATCAATACCTTGAGCGACATGTAGCTGTGGTTACAAATTAACATTTTCCCGACTGATTGTTGTTCCCTCTACTTACCGAGGCGGCAGTGATGGCTGGGGCCCGGTACTGAAAGAGTCCTGCAAAAAGAATTCGATTGTGCATTTGTTATTAGCACTGGGAACCACAGCGTCCTTGTGACAACACACAGCATTCAGTCACAGCCGGCCTGAGCTCAGCAGCAGGTAATGTGTCAGTGTAGCCACAATAGCTTCTTTGTTTGTGGAAAGCAGGTAAGCTGCAAAACCTGACTGAGACCTTCCTAAAGGTACTGCTATGTAGTTTAGTATGTAAACACTAATGGCACCATTCTGAATAAAGTCTGAAAAAAACACGAAAAGTTTAACCCTTTATAGGGCACTCCTTGAAATATTTGGAAAATGAAAATTTCAACTCTAAGGTGGTATTTCAAGATATTTTTGCTTTTGTGACTTTAAAAAAAAAAAGGAAAAAAATGTTGCAAATCAAAATGAATAAAGTTCCCATATATGTAACTTGCTTGTCTACGGTTAAAAAGTAACAAACTGCAAAAAACATTTTTAGAAACATTTTAGTCTGAGGTAATGATACTTACACAAGCAGTAACAAAGTATTTATAAAGTGCTTGGCAGCTTCATTTAGTAACATTGTTTTTGGGGTGGTGGTGTTAGTGGCACTAATCTTACAAAATAAATCAAAGTTGAGTTCAATGCAAACCAGCAACAAAGTGTTCATAAACTGCCCGGAACATTTGTGTAGTGACATTAATATAAAACTAAATCAAAGGTCACGTGGTGCTTCAACCTCAAGGGGAGGCACAGGGTGGACATATTGAACATCCAAGGAAGTTACTAAATATGGTGATTTTCCCTATAAAGGGTTAAGATGCTGTGAGAAAAAGAAAAAATCACTTCTTGTTTGTATTTTTTAAATAAATAAATCTTTATGTCAGAAAATGGGACGTTCATGGCTACAGTGTGTAACGCTGATTCGAAGTGTGTGACTGCACTGTAATGGGAACCTTACCTGGAGGGAGAGGCTGGGTGTCAGGCTTTGTCTGCGGTTCACTGAGGTGGTTAGGGAGCCTACAGGCTTCTGAGTCGGGAGAGGAGGAGGACTGTCCTGAAAATTATCTGACACTGACAAGAGATCTGTCTTTACCACGAAATACTGAAAACTTTTGTTCACTTACAGTATTATGTGTACAAACAAAATGAAAGCAGGGTGCAATGCATGTTTAAAATGCATTCTAAATACTGAAACGCATTGTATAGTTACCACATAAAACTCAGAACAACAACACACACGTCAGCTTTGATAGTTTAGTCTTAAAATGTTTTGATAAAAAACAGGAAACACTCAGTCACACAAGATTTGCTAGACTTACTTGAACCGGTTTTGCTGGGGACCCTGATGGTGGTTGGTCTTTTTGTTAAACTTTGTCTGGTGAAAGAGCCTCCATTGCTGTCCACGCTATGCTGAGGTTTGACCGGGACGTGATCTGAGCAAAGAGACACATGATTGTGTAGCTGCTACAGGAGCCTTAATGTCAAAACAGTTGAGCAACAATTTTAGGAAGTTATTTGTCATCCAGTAGAGCAGGCCTTCAACTTTTTCTTATTTTCTAAATGGTAAGTCAGTGAACTGAAAATTATTTGACATTTCTATTAGCTGAACAGTAATTAAAGGAACAGTTTGACATTTTGGGACGTCTACTTTGTTGCTTTCTTGCTCAGAGTTGGATGAGAAAACTGCTATCACTCATGCGTGCTTGTTTTCTGATTAATATTTCGTACCTCATTTGTCTGAAACGTTCACAAGAGAAATGTAAAAACATCAGTTTATGGTTTTACAAAAGATTTATATCCTGTAACATTTTCCTAACAGTTCATTCATACTTTTGTGCAGCTCATACAGTCACTTGTAGCTGTTGCTTGGCAACCTCATGGTGACATCAGTGTCATGATATACTGGTATTGATGATAACTATTCGTAGGAATATACATGTGGTAATATTGTAAATGATTCAGTGAAAATCTGATTGGCACTCTAACACAGGAACAAGACGCAGCACAGTTATGGTCACACACTGTAAAGATATTTTTTGTTTCAAATTATTAAAAATGTGCACAGGTTGCCTTAGAAATGTGAATTAGCTGCCTTTAGATTGAATATTTAGTTGAAAACCATCCTGTGAGTTGTGTAATTCTAAAGCTGGTTGGGTCAAATGGGCTGAACCTGAAAGAAAAGTTCATATTTCTCCATCATATGAACAATCTTTACAAGCAGACTTGCTTTCCTTTTACATGTTCTTTGTTTAACAGGTTGGTTCTTTACTGAACTTGGAGAACTCAGAGCTGCTGAAGCCATTTTGTACTGAATTCAATACAATGCAATGACACTGTATGATATCATGATAATATTGTCACCGTGATTGTCTTTGTGGATAATCACACAGTACAAGTCGATTATTGAGCAAGACTTTGCATCATTTCCTCAATTTTTAAAATCCTTGCTTATTGAACGCCTGTGATTATTTTTTTTTTTTGGTTGGACAAATAGAGCCAAGCTGCTTCCATAGTGTAGTGGTTATCATGTCTGCTTTACACGCAGAAGGTCCTGGGTTTGAGCCCCAGTGGAACCAGAGCTGCTTTTCAGCAATTTCCCTGAGATACCAGTAATAAATAAAGTTCTATCTAATCTAGAAGAATAGAAAAATACTTTATTTATCCCAGTCTGGGAAATTACTGAATCTAATCTACTTTAAGTCTCTGATGAGCTTTATTTTGACATTTTATAGCTGAAATCTAGGATCCAGCTTCTACATCCTGTTTCTGTTTGTTCTTGCGACACTTCAAAATAATAACTTGATCAATAGACGAGTTGGAAATGAAAAGTTTTTTGATGCCTGCCTGCAGAGAAACTACAACTTGGAGTAAAATGCTACTCACTCGATGAACTGTCCACATATTCGTTCTCTCTGAACATGGATGATGAGTTGTGGTTGTTTATATTTAGGTTGGGTTTCAGTGGCTCCTTAAAAGGCTTCACTGGAGGTACAGGTGGAACCGGTGACAGCTCTTCATCGTGGATGCTGTTGGCTCTGGTCAGCACAGAAGGACGTGATCTCTGAGGGAGGGTCCCTCTGCTGTGTATCGACTCCAGCTCCTCCTTTATAGAGAGTCCCACAGGTTTCTTAGGGGGCAGAGGCCTGGGGGCTTGTGGGGGGTATTGGGGGGTGTTTGTGGCTGATATGTTTTGGTTGTCATCGTCTATACTCTGACTAAACTGAGGTCTAAGAGCTACAGAAGGTTTAGCAGCTACTGGTGGTCTGGTGGTGGCCTTCCTGGGCCGAGGCTCTGGTTTGACTAGTTCCGAGTTTCCATCCTCGGTGCTGACCTGGCTCTCAAAGGCCTGGATCCTGGCCCGGATATTACGTTGACTGTGGCTGTCGTTCATCTCGCCAGCAGCATCTTCACCATGTGAGGCCTCGTCTGATTGGTCAACGACGTCACTGTTCTCCTCACCTTCGATATCTGCGCTGAAGACCTCCAGTAACTCCTTTAAATATTTATTCGAGGACACCTCTTGGGGATCAGATTGAATGTTGTCACAGTTTTCACTGAGCTTGACCAAAGTCTGAACTGCGGCCTCCTCTTTGATCGCCTGCTTTTGTGTTTTTGTGCGAGGACGTGGGACGGGGGGTTGACTGTGTTCTGAGTTTGAAGAGGAAGTAGTCTCAGCAGTGACAGAAAGAGGATTTGTAGGAATATTCCAGTGTACAGTGACAGATCTGGTGCACGTATGAGTGGACGCTGCCTTTTCAAGTGGCTTCACATCGGACTTTGAATCACTTTGGTCCTCAGTGTTTGTAACCGCTGCTGTATTTGTGGCAAACTTCTCTTCTGTTTCAGTTGCTTCAGGCTTTCTGTTTGCTGCTTTTGGCAGTGAGGGCCTTGGTGGTTTTTGTGGCTTTTTACCTGGAAACAAAAAGAATCTGAATTTGTTGAACCAAAACAGAAGTGAATGTCCAGCAACAGTGACTGACATACGCCTTACCAGCAGGTCTTTTCTCAGCTAACGGTGGAGTTGCAGTGCATTGTGGGACGGTGGTGGAGGCGTCTTCCCTCACAGGGTCAGTCTGTGTGGCGCTGGTGGCGGTGCAGCAGGTCCGGCGAGGGGCCGCAGTGGGCTTTACAATATGTTCCTCCTGGGTCTTCTCTTTAATCACCTGGTCATAGGACGGTGGGGGCTGAGTCATGAAGAAGAGAAGGGTTCACCCACATGCACGCACTTCATTTTATTACACACCATAGCGCTTGTACAAACCGACATGCTGCTAGAATATTTTACTGAGCACAGATATAATTAGAATTTATCTACTGCTAATGACACTGTAGTCATGTCCTCAGTGTTTTGGGTTTTGTTTGATAAGAATTTAAGTTTTAGCAATCATTAACCCCCAAACCCATCATCAAGTTTGACAGGCGTGTTATTGTTGAAAAATAAAAATAAAAAAATCGCCAAACTTACATCCTTTATTTTAGTCAAAAACTATAAAAACCTGACTTGAATTTTCACATTTCTAACAGTCCATTACCTAATTATGTGTGACTTCCAGTTCTGTCAGAAATGAACCAAATCTAAGCTTAAAGTCACCTTATTTCATTAAAAATAGCGCATCATTCTCTCTAACCAGATTCCGTAAAGAACAAAACATTCTGTGCTCCTCGTCACAACTGAGAAGCCGTTCGTGATTGAGCTGTGATCAACAGCTACGTGATCAAGATTCAGAGACTTCTCAGTGGAACTGTGATGAACTGCAGGCGGTGTTTACACAAAGCAGAAAGGAGACGAGCATGGAAACAAAATACATATAACGTGTAGAATCACATTTTGTCCACAGTATTGGTAACAACTGTGAGCACTTGGAAAAATGTTGTCCATGCCGACGCCAGTTTTTTTGTTTTAATTATTGTAAAATACATTGGAGTTGATTTGGAGTGCTACACAAAATAAATGTTTGCGTTTTCTTTACCTCTAATAGATATAATAATACATAATATAATAGACTATTATTATTAAAACTAGATTTTAAAATTATGTTAGTATATTGTCTGTGAAGATTCTCCGTCATCCAGGTCATGCTTATTCTTGTACTTTAATCTTAACAACTGGACTTGCTTGAGTTTCTTGAAGACGTTTCACTTCTCATCCAAGAGGCTTGATCAGTTCTGACTGACTAGTAGGGAGTTCCTGATACTTATATCCTTAAGGAGCCATTAACACCTGAGTTTTGGTTTTAACTTGGGGTTTGTTGCTTCTCCCCCTCATTATGCGAGTCGTTAGGACTCCTCCTGCCACAATGGGGTTCGTTAAAGTCTTTTGTGGCGAGGTGTGAATGTGGTTTCATCTTCCTGGGGAGAGTTCTTAGGACTGAATTTTAAACAGGTGAGAGGTGATGCCTCAGACCTCCACCTCTGTTGAGGGATGGTCTGTCCAGGTTGACATAGATGGCTTCTTTCACTCCTCTCTCAAACCATCTGTCCTCCCAGGCCAAAATCTGGACATTATTGTCTTCAATAGAGTGTCCTTTGTTCTTTGCAGCCCTATACTAACATATATATATATATATATATATATATATACAATAGTATAGGGCTGCAGGGTGGCTCTGTGGCTAACGCCGTTGCCTCGCAGCAAGAAGGTCGCCGATTCGCGTCCTGGTGAGGACACCCGGGATCTTTCTGCGTGGAGTTTGCATGTTCTCCCCGTGCAGCGTGGGTTCTCTCTGGGTTCTCCGGCTTCCTCCCACACAGTCCAAAAACATGTTGAGGTTAACTGGTGATTCTAAATTGTCCATAGGTGTGAATGTGAGTGTGCTTGATTGTCTGTCTCTAAGTGCAGCCCTGCAATAGACTGGTGACCTGTCCAGGGTGTCTCCTGCCTTCACCCTAAGTCAGCTGGGATAGACTCCAGCCCCCCATGACCCTAGTGAGGATTAAGCGGTGTATAGAAAATGGATGGATGGATGGATGTTAGTATATTTTATCACTTGTGTCCAGTATTTACTTTGGTTAAATTTAAGCACTATTCATTTGAGAAGAGCAGATTTTTTTTTTAAAGTTTGTATTTAAGTTTGTATTTGTTGTTTTGTGAGCATTATTTATTGAGGAAAATCAGACAGTTAATTCAAACACTGTTGATCGTATGAAGCCTACCTGGGAGACAGCTGTGATGCCTGCAGACCAGCCTGACTGAGGAGGAGGTAAAACCACAGAGGTTCCTGAGAACCAGTTGTTGTTGGCCAGAGGTTCTGCTGAGACGATGGTGATCTCTGGTCGCCTGAAAGATTAAACATAAATTGAACATGAACACCCGAAACACACAACTACACATTACTCTCAGCAGCATGGAACAATCCAGACACTTGGTTTCATTTCTAAGTAAGAAGCAAACAATACAGTCAAGGTGTGAAAAGGAATTTCATTTCACATTACCTTCTGTCTCTGGTATTGTCGCTCTGAGAGTTTGTTCTTGCTAAAGGAAGAAAAAAAATATTTTATAGACATCTGGAAGGCTTGTCTGTCATTTCTGATAGAAAACATGAAGATTACATTTCTACAGATCATCATACGGTCACTTTTTTTTCTTGAACAATCAAAAAATGTAACAACTGAAATCAAACTTACATCTAACAAACATCTCAGCATCTTTTACCTTCGACAAAATGTTCACATAAAAAGAATGAAACATTGCATGATCTAAAAATATAAAAAGTAGGCAAACTTACTTCGTTTGATAGCAGCTCGTATAGAAGACAGAGGTCCTTGACTAAAAAGAGAGCAGAACATGAAACCCATTTATCATTAAGATCTGGGGCACATACAGACGACAGCAGGTTCATACACAGTGTGGTATAATTTACTCTGTCCGTACTGTTGATGCCAATCTATACAATGATGAAAAAGCCAGAAAAACTAATAAATTTATGAGAGCGTTTGTATTAACATTTACGAAAAAGGTAACACGCAGATGACCTGTACAGAAACTAGTGAGAAAACAAAAGCATAATAATTATTCTAATTATTGCTTAGAGCTAGTGATTGGTAAGAAAAGAGCAGTGAAAAATAATAGGTTTAACAATGAAAAATATATACAATGAATCATAGAAATAGCTTTTGGAAGTAAAGCCGCAAAAACAAAGGCCTACTGCTGGTTGGTTTGGTTCAGATATTTGTTCATTTCTGCATTACTATTCTCCAAAGTGTTAGTTATTTAAAACAACACATTTTATATAGGTTCAAAAACTCTAATTTAAATTCAAAAACACACCTCTAGTATTGTGAAGGGCAACAACAATTAGAGTGACATAACACAAGAGCAGCGCCCCTGTTAATACTGCTGTTGAATCTGGTTTTTACGTACCTACCTTACAAAAACATGATACCCAGTTAATGGCACCACTTCCAGGTAAACACAGTACGTATGAGCACTCCCTTACACATCACTGAGCCAAACATGTTGACGCGATTTGATGTCCTCAGGTTGTCAAACTCTCGGTGCTACAGATTCTTTTCTAATCCTTCAAAAATCTCTTCATCATTGTTGTCTTGCTGGAAACTGTTGTGTGACTCACAACAGCTTCGTGAAACTCTGGTGACAGAGCCGAGCTCATTACGAACACATACCCGGCTCATTAGGACCTGACTGCAGGAGGCTGATGTAAACTATCAGGGGGAAAAGAGCAGCAACCCTCAGCCCGCCTCTTCAACCACATGGTTGATTTTAATTGATTAGCCGAGTTGTAAACACAAAGATCTAAAGGCCTGTTAACCGATGAAAGCTGTGTTTTTAGATGGTTTGATAGATCTCTCTGAGACCCACACAGGCCACTGGTCTTCTTAATGTCTGTAAACAACAGCTGAATTTACCCTTCTGTCTGTCAGTGAGGGGAGATCACTGCATTGTTTGCTCCATTCACAACCTCACCATCAGCAGATCTGACTGTTAAAGGGACAGTGTCCTTCTGCAGAGCTGCCGCTCCGCTCGCAGTTCAGTGAAATGAAGCAGCACATCAGGACCTCAGCTCAAGAAGGAGTCACATACCTGCAATGTAAATGCTCTGGCTTGGTTCTTTCAGGACGATCTGTAGAGGAGAACAGAGATACCAGCTTCATGAGTGATGTGTAGAAATGGAGATAACATCCTGGCAGATTTACAGCAGGTTTATCTGTTAATATGATCAAAAATTCTGTAAGAATGTGAGGAGCTGTTTGGGAATGTAGACATTAAATACATAAGAAATCATAACACTTTATCATTGTTGCAGAAATCTTGCAAAAAATCCACTGAGGCTGCCCTGCTCACTGATTTGCCACATTGCTCACTGGCCTAACACACAAACAAGTATTACTACAGTCGTCCTCAAATGCATTCATACCCTTCCATTAAAGAAAAGGCAAAATTCACAATAGTCACTCAAATAACTTGAAACTGAAAAAAGTAATAATAAATAAAAAATTGCTAAACTATAATTTAGTGAAATAAGACATTGCTTTGAAATGTGGCTGAAAAGAATAATTAAAAAAACAACAACAAAACAAAGCCGTCCCTGACAAATGAGAGCACTTTGCTGATGAGCAGTGGGTCAAAATCAATAGCTGTCAACAGGTGCAGAAGTCTGATTGAGAGTTACAGAAAACACTTGATTGCAGTGATTGGCTCAAAGGGTTGTTCAACTAAATATTAGTTTTCAGCAACCATCATGCTTGTTTTGTTTTTTGTTTTTTTTTACATTTTTGTTGAACCACAATTCAAAAGCAATGTCATGGTTTTCAATAATTTTTTATTTATTATCACTTCTGTCAATTTCAACTTATTTCAGCGACAGCTGTTTCTTTTCCTTCTTTAATGGGAGGGTGTGAATACATTTGAGGACGACTGTATATGGACCACTGCAGGAACTGTGTGGAAAAACCTCTCACAGTTGGCTATTTATATTGTTTTGTGGTATACAGGACCAGGATGGACAGATGGGGGCTTGAGCTCGGTGCGCTGGATTTAGAATTTTTAACATGTGGCTGAGGTTTAAGTTCTGACTTTTAGTGTTTTCACTGAGTGAACACAGAGAAAAATGATTTCAACACATTTTTAAACACATTCCAAACTATCAAGTCAAAGCACATCAATGAGGAGTTTTTCTGACATTGGGATGTTCTGGATTGGTCGAGTCAGTCACCTGACCTCAGTGCTACTGATCAAATATTTTACTGGATCAGATCAGACTGAAAGTAAAAAGGCACCAAAACAAGCAGGAAGCAAGATGGCTGTAATACAAGTCTGACAAAGGAGCAGTGTCAAATTCTAGCTGACATCTGATGTATTACTTAGTCTTCAAGACAAATACTAATTCTGATCACACCTAGCATATTTTGATCCACATTAGCAGCCAGCAGTTCAACTCATCATCAGTGACTTATGTAGCAAATAGTTTGGGACACGTAACTCTCCCACTACTATGGACAGGACTGTATAAACTAGAAATACAAGACCCTGAACCTAACCGGCAGGACAGGCAATTAAATGTTGATAAACCAGTTAGTCGAAGGTAACTGCATTGGTGCTTTTAAATTTAAACTTACACAGAGGCGATGTTATTTCTATTTATGTTCATTTCTACAGTTCACCAACACTTATATAATATCTTCTAATTCAGATGAGAGATCATGAACATGTTCAGCAGCAGTCACAGGAAGGTGGCAGCGTGATCAATAAATGTATTAATGTGAGTCTGTAACATGACTGGATATTACTGATGCCTTGTCGCCAACATCAGTTATCATTAGGAAAACACAACATGTTAGCTAGAAGTCAGTAATAAAATGTTCTCTTCCACACAAACACAGCCTGTGATCTGGCTCAACTGAATTAAACTGACACTTAAACAAACACAATACACTTAGTTCTCTGCAATTTTTGGCGCTGAGCTGATTTCCACGTGATAAAAGGCAAAATGCAGATTTCCAATCCAGCAAACATAATGTATAGAATCTGTTCTGCAAACAATCCAATCAAACAAGAGGTCATTTGTTGTTGGAGGTAAATTGAAAAGAAAAATCTAGGCAAAGGTTAAAGTCGGCATTGCTATGAATTCCTTCAGCCGGAGACCTTGTTGGCAGTCAGCTCCACCTGTCACACCTGTTACTTGTTAACTGTGAGAGCCACAACTCTGCCGCCTCGAGTTACACTTTAACAGAAGGTGAGAAAGGAGTTGCTGCACTTTGACTTAATGCGAAAGACGTTCTTTTAGTAACGGCTCTGCTACTGTAATTAAAGCATCATCACTTCCTTGTAGATGATACCGACATACATGAGACAATATCACACTTGTTTGGTCATCTGTGGAAGCCATGTAGCCCTAAATACAACGACAACGCCCCTACCTGTGAGGAGTTAAATCTAAAATCTTCAGCATCAAAGGGATATTTTCCATCAAGATCTTTCCCTCCTTTAGTCCACCGAGTGTTTGAGCATGACAAAGAACTTGAAGCTATCAGTCACACACCCACACACAACAGAAGAGAGAGGGACGGCCCAGTGATAACTCCGTGTTCCTGTGTTTACTAGGCCAATCTGACGAGCTGGAATGTGGTCATTCAGGAAGTGGAGGTTGTGCCACACCACACTGCACCGTCACTATCTTTTTTTTCCTGCAAAGTATAAAGTGACAGGAACGTCGCTCTGAGCTGCTCATAACTGGGTGAAAGTGCTTGAATAATAAATTTTAGCAGCTTTGATTGTATGTCTTCTAAGTCGTAAAGTCACAGCGCATTTGTTTGCCTTACAAATTAACTGGCAGCTATAAACTTGACATTTTATTGAAAGCACTGTGCATGCAGGTTAGAACTGTGCAAACTGAATTAAAAGCAAGACAGAATGTGAATTACAAGAATTTTAGAAATGTAGAGCTAATTAAAGCACATAAAGAAGAAAATGTGTGATTATAAACGGTTAACGATGTAGTTTTCTTTGCTGGAATTTGAAACTGTTCAAGGCACTGGATGACCTGAAATGCCCTCAGGGTTGAAGCAAGAAAGCATTTTAACTATGTAATATGGTGTTGAATCTATGTAGTGCTTAAATTGTAATAAAAGTCTGAAATTATATTTAAAATTCATGTTGTGTTTTTTTTTTCTTCTTTCAGTTATATGCACGTGTGCTTTCATCGTTATATGGCTACAAGAAAGAAACTGATTCAAGCTAAACACAAAGTCAGACATAAGTCAAACCTAAATTTCATATCAGGTCATATTTGGCCTTTTGCACCAGTAACAGCCGCTTAGTTCCATCTTGGTTGAACTATAGAAAAGACTGCCACATTAAGAAAGGAACATCCCACATACATGGATTTAAAATGTATGAAAAAAAGGGCAGAGCAACATAAAGTCACGTCATGCAAATTTAGCTAGGATTATGTTTTCTGGGACACTTGGAAGGTGTCCTGTAGATCCAGAAACAACAGTCCTGCAGTTTATCCTGATATAACCTGTGGTAACATCAGCAGCTACAGATAACATCAGAAATTTACCAGTGAAAGTAGGTCAGCTGAGGACGGACCACTGACTTAAATATCATCGTGTGGCTTCAGCACATGAATTGCTCTTATGTGATGTCTGAGTTTATCTACAATAGGAATCAAATATTAAACAACTCCTAAAATAGGCAAGTTATCATTCTTAATTGTCTAAAATATCAATCAAGTATGTATGTATGTATGTATGTATGTATGTATGTATGTATGTATGTATGTATGTATGAAAGACATTTCCTGGAAGACAATAAAGTCTATTGTTGCTTCTTCTGGAATGTGTAGACCTACATACACTGTAAAAAAAAAAAAAAAAGATGTAATTGTGCGGGATTTTCCCTTTTTAGTTTTTACTTTTTTTTGTTGTGTTGTAAAAAAAAAAAAAACAATGATATTAAGAAAATAAATTCTGACTTTACATATCTAATGTAAAATAACAAAAAACCTTGTTACTGTGAACAACATAAAGTTTCGATTTTTCATTTTTTTTCCTTACATAAAAAGACAGTTAAATACATGAAAAATGTTATATTTTTACGTTTTAAATTAATATATTAAACTGTTAAAGTGTAGTACTGTAAATATATTCTTAAAATTAGATTGAAAGCTGTGATAATTAGTGTAGTGGCAGGACAAAGTCATCTGTCATGTCTGTCAAGTTTCTGTTTTGTGTGCACATTTTATCTTGTCTTTCCTGTTTTATTTTGAAATCACTAACCCGTTGTCTCTGTCCTAGTTTACTTCCCACACCCGTCTCGTCACACCTGCTCCCTGATGGCTCTCCCTCACCTGTTTCCCATCTCCCCTCATTACCTCGTGTATATTACCTTGTGTGTCTCACAGTCTCGTTGCCAGTTTGTTGCACTTCATAGTCTTCATACCAGCGTTCTGATAGTCACAGTCATAGTCTGCTTTGTTACAACCTCGTTTTTCTGCTGTCGACCTTGTCTTTTTCCTGCCATTTTTTGGATACCTCTGCCTGTTTGGATTTACCACCTTTTACAGACCTCTGCCTGTTAATAAACCTGTCTTTTGCCTGAACCTTTTCTGTGTCCACCCGTTCTGCTCACAGTGAGTTCACGACAAGATCAGGTGTGAGGATTATTGTGATCAAACAGCTACGGAGAGATTAATAACATCACAGGTTGTTTGCAGCTTGTTTGCTGCGTTGAAATGACACTGTGCAGTTTGACAGTTTCTCAAATGAGAAATCATCACTTATGGAAATTCTTTACACATTAAAAATATGTTCATTTAAAAAAATATAACACTTAAAATAGCAATAATTTCTTGTGATTTGAAATCACATTACCAGTTATATAACAGTATTTTGATTTTTTTTTTACAACATTTTTTACATGAAATTATACAATAAAATCTGGTTAAATTAGGCACTCCTTCCTGTAGTACATTATATTTGTGAACTGAATATTTGTATTATATCATTGTTCCACCACATTTATAGGTAATTTAATTGTTTTTACACATTTAAATAGTTTCCATTAAACATTAAAAAGCCACAAAAATAAAAATTAATGCACACTATCTCATAAAATGAAGGTCAGAAACAATGTTTTAATTCTGGAAATTTACTGTACTTTTACTGTACTTTTATGAGATGGATATTTTCCATTATTTTACAATATTTTTCTGGCACCCCAGCTGCTGTAATATAACAGTTTTTTTTTTTACAAACACACCATGTACCTAGACATGTAAAAAAGAAAAAATAATTGGACTTTAACATATTAATATCTATCCATCATTTATCTATACACCGCTTAATCCTCACTAGGGTCATGGGGGGCTGGAGTCTATCCCAGCTGACTTAGGGTGAAGGCAGGGACACCCTGGACAGGTCACCAGTCTATCACAGGGCTACACTTAGAGAAAGACAACCAAGCACACTCACATTCGCACCTATGGACAATTTAGAATCACCAATTAACCTCAACATGTTTTTGGACTGTGGGAGGAAGCCGGAGAACCCGGAGAACCCACGCTGCACAGGGAGAACATGCAAACTCCACGCAGAAAGATCCCAGGTGTCCTCACCCGCACAAGAACCGGTGACCTTCTTGCTGTGAGGCAACAGTGCTAACCACCGATCCACCTTGTAGCCCTACATATTAATATTTAGCAGGTAAAATGTTTTGCATGTTCACCATCATGTTAGTCTTCTAACATTGACTAGTCACCACTTGCAGGTTTTGGACAACAGACCTGATTATGGTGCTCACTGACGTATAAGGGAAGTCAAACATATTGAAATTCATCCAGTGGGCAACATGACAATCTGTAACAAAATTCATTGCAACCCATCAAAAGCTTCAACAGATTGCCTTTTTCAATTAAATGAAACTGCCATCCCAGTTAAAACATCCAGATCAGTTGGCAGAATATTTACCTCCAGTATGCGCCAACAGCACTCCACCTTCAGCACATTATGCACCATTTAAAGGCTCATTACACCTTCGAACATTCAACTAAGACTAATTACCTTTAGAAACCATGATCAGACTACTTGACAAGCTCCCTTTGTGCAGCTCTGACTTAAAATTCCAGACCAGCAGATATCTCTCAGTGACACCTGAAAAGGCACCACAGGCGCACGGGAAAGCTGCTGAGGTCAGCAGGACAGGTTTCCCTTCACAGCCGCGCTCTCCCTTGAACACATGCCGTCATTACTCAGCACAGCAGCAGCAGCAGCAGCAGCAGTCACAGAGCAGCTGGTCAAACTGGCAACAAAAGGAAAGAAAGAAAAACAATCCGCCTCTATGTGATTGAACTGAACTGGTCCTGGTCCGAATCACACCAAATCTGATGAGCTCATTTGTTTATTGGATGATCCAGAGAGATATTTACTGGAAATATGTCGAGGAAAGAAGTTTGTCTGAAGTCAGAATGCAAACAAAAAAGCAGAACTGGTGTTAAAATCCAGGAAAAGGCCTTTGTTGTTAACAGGGAGCTGGTCAAAATAGATTTACTCTCACTTGGAAAACAAGGCAGTTTAAAGCGAACAGATTATGTTGTCACGGGTGAATAACACAATGTCAGCAGCCGACGCGGACCTTTAGTCAGAGAAGATTAGACGGTGTCAATGCAGACGAGTGATTCACTGTGGAAACTGCCTGAAATCGTACCTGATGTGGATCCAAACGCATTTTGTTATTTTGAAATGATGGAAAATTGGATCAAGTACAGACAAGAGCCTGTTCATGACACAGCGGCCTGTCTGCTCACACTCTGGCAGGAATTCCCATCCAGACAGCTGCTGGGTTCAGGGTGTGGTGTGAGGGGGTGTGGTGGGGGGTCTGACTGTTGCAGATAGCTGGGCAGGGCGCGGGGGAGCCGGGAAATAGGGGTTTGCACAGCAGGTGGTGCAAAAAAAACCCCCAAAAAGAAGTATAAAGAAAACTGTATTGACTTGAGAATAAATCGCTTTCTGAGCTGTAATAAATGCAACTTCTACAGAAGGCTTGTCAATCTGTATCCAGGCCGAAGCTAAAAAGAACAAGTGAGCTGTTTCCTGTTCAACAATAGATGACACATGTTGTTGCTATGAGGAGTGTGGGACACAGTTACTGTAACCACAAGGAGGTTGACCAAACCTGCTTTTAAATGACGGTACGGCAAAGAGGTAACACATTTTTAGCTCTTTTGTCTGCAGCTACTGTCACACACACACACAGATTTCATTCAATTCATCAGTGGTGGCTGCTATAAATGGCTTACCAGAACTAATCAGATCATTGTTTATGTGTGTGAATTGAATCATGGTAACAATTTAACTAAATCAAAGCAAACTTGTCTCACATGGAAAGATGACTTGAGGCCAAAACAGCATGCACTGCTTCACCCTGTTCTGATGTTTTTGAGGAATAACTGATAATGCCTATAGATTCCTCCACACAGTATCAAAAGACCAATCTAATGCTTTTAAAGTGTTTTTTTTTTTTTTTTTTACATAGGCCTATGTGTCAGGTTGACAACATACAATCTGCCTCTGTCATGTTTGCGCATCCTACGATTAGAGAGCTGTCACTGAGCTGGTTTAACTCCTCAACTGAAAAGCACACAGTCTTTAAACTGTTGCTGATGATTTCCAAGTACACACAGCACAGTAGTCGGTGTTTTTATGTGTAGTCCTGCTGCTCCAGACCTCCATTACCTTCTAATAGCTCCTAAATGTACATCAGAAAGCAGATTCTTGAAGCTGAATCACTAACAGCCAGATTCAAATCACTGAAATTAGGGATTGTTGGATTATTGTTGTCAGTTAAAATAACGCGTATTGTTCTTTTGCATAGTATTTACTGTTTGAGCTGAATTTTACACAACGATTATGTGTGTTTAACACAACTTATTGCAGACCTGAGTTTCACTGTGGTGGATTACGCAACTCAGTCAAGCTCAGAAGTTCACTCCATGAGTTTCTTGTGAGCATCAAAGTTAATGGAAAACTTTAGTTACAAAAAAACGCAAAACAGTTTCCTGAATGATCAGCTGTGACGTAAATTAAGTGGAAATTAGTTGAAACAGGCAAAACTCTGATTGATATGATCTTGAAAAATATTAGAGGTACAGAGCTGAAGTCATAATAAACTGGACTGATACAGATTTTCACACCAATGAAGCGTAAAGTGAAACTTGTGAGCTCTTCACATGTTTGTCAGTGTGTCCTATCCTACCTGTTGTCTGGTTTCTGTCCCGCAGATCTCTGCCATCATCCTCCTCCTCCTCCTCCTCACGCCGGGCTTCTGCCATCGGGATGAGACACGATATAGGAAATAAACATACACAAATAAAGTAATCGGGGACCTTTTGATAGCAGTTGTTTCATCCGTCTCCTCGCTGGAGTCGGCAGCTGTCCTGTCCGCTAGAAGTTTCAGCGCGTCCGGCCCACAGCAGCGCTTTGTGCTGCGCATGGATGGAGGTGGTGCCACTCAGCGTCCGGAGCGTCAAAACAGGAGTGAAACCGGCGGAATTAACCCCTGAAGCCCACGTTTAAACGTTTTGTTAAACTCTCAGGGACCAGAAAGCTTTAATTTGTTTTTTTTTTTTTTGTGGAAACACTTTGAGTGGCAGAGTCTCCACAAACTAACCTTTATAAAACCTGGAGAAGAACAAACAAACCCAGACAGTAAAGCTGAAATGCCAATTTAAAATCATATTAATGATCATTAATTTACAAGTTTGAAGTCCCCTGATGCATCCATTCTCCTCTCAGTATTTCACCATCAACACCAAACTGATTCCCCTCCAAGGCTATTAAAGTCATTTAATTAATTCACTTTAATGCAAATTCAAGTTCCCAACATGAAGTTCCGGTTTGAAGTGTTGTTTCAAAACTTTCCCCAAACTGACAGGAATATTCTAATGGATACATGTTTGGCCCATTTTGATTATTTTAATATATGTAATTAATAAATAAATACTAATAATATCAGTTTATAAAATGTGCGCAAGTTTTAAATAGTAAAATGCCAACTTCTTCAAATTCTTACCAAAATAAGTAAAGTTATAACTCCTAAAGAGTAACATCTCACTTCACCAGAAAGAAAAATAATCATAAATTAGCCATGAAAAAGCATTTTAAAAGTAATTTGCAGTGATTTTAGAGTCTTGTAGTCCAGCCCCCTCCAGACACTCATTCATCATTAATGCCTCTGTGTTACATGGCTTTTATATTCATGTGCACCCCTGGCAATTACTAAATATGCCCCAAGGTCTGCAGATGAAATGATTCTTGTCGTGCTGTTTAAATGTACTCCTGTGAAAAAAGCGTAGACTCAGCTATGAGCCCCTGTTGAGCCACTAGATGTCGCTGCAGACCTGTTCATCTCCTCCACAGCCTCCTTAAATGGCCTTCAGTCTGAAATATAAAAAAAGTCTCCTTCCCTGAAATCAGAGCCAAGTTTGTCAGAAGTTGTCTGACATGACTTCAGCACGAATGAATAATGGGACACTGTGGATTTAAGGTGGGTTTGCTTCTAAATTGCTTAAATTGCAACTTGGTCTGTGAACTCATCCTTCAATCAGGCATAAATGGAGGTTGTGTCTTTTTTTTCCAAAACTCTACAGTATAATTTCATGCTGGAAATCACAATGATCATGATCCTGCTGGAGACGTGGGAGGAAACACTGGGTGGATTCACAGATACTGAGCAGAGTTTGGAGGGTTTTTGTAGAAAGACGGGAAATTTAGGAACGTATGAAACAGAAGGCCGAGATATCCTCATAGCCTACATAGAGTTTTAAAATATTATTTCAAGTGATGGGATTATTGAGAAATTCATTTCTAAATCTGCTGGCTTGGGAAAATGGAAGTTTGTCATTTTGATTTTATTTGTTAAGCAGAGAACTCGCTACAAAATGCATTTTCTGAGCTTTTTTTTTTTCTGGATAAATACGACTTAAAATGCCTGCTTGATCTTATTCATACTGTCTCACTTTTTTGTCCCACAAACAGAAATAGAAATCTGCTTAAATTCTCATTTTTACCTCCAGTTTTTAGTCAAATTAACCAAAAAGACAAACCTAAAAACATCTAAAGGCCACACTATTATGATTCAGATTAACCTCTTAAGACCCGAGCTCCTGTTTGATATGCATTTATTTTATTTATAAAAATATAAATAAAATAAAAATATATTTTTAAAAAATGTAAATAAAAATAAAACAAATAAGTAAAATAATAATAATAATAAAATAATAAAAATAAATTCTCTTTGCTATTTGATCAGATCAAATGACAAAGAAAAATACAAACTAAAAACATATAAAGGAAATAAAATATTTAAAAAATATAACAATATAAAAAATAAAAAAATAATAAAAATAATAATAATAACAAAAATAAAATAATAAAAACTGAAAAATCCATAAAAGGAAATAAAAATATATTTAAATAAATAAAATTTAAATAAATAAATAAATAATTTAAAAAATAATAATAATGAAGTGCATCAGGCAAAAATACACGTCAAATGAAGTTTTAACAAGTGAAGTTTTTGGAAATGTCACCAATAATATAAATATTTTTGCAATATTTGGCTACTGTAGCTCCCCATCTACTTTCCAATATGTTCATACATGGTTTGCACTTTACTCCACTGCTCATTCCTCACGTGTTTCCCTCTCCTGAGGGAGACCAGAAGCCTGCAGCAGTGAGACGCCCTCCTCCTGTGGATGTCTGCCGGAGCTCAGGGGGAGGAGCGTCCCAGTGAGGATCAGCGCAGTGGCTTCACCTATGTGTGCGCCCCGGACCAGGTTAAGTAGCTCGGTTACATATCAGCTGCGTCCTCTTACCTAAACAGGGGTCAAGTGTGGAGCTGAGAAGAAGAAGAACAAAAAAAGAAACACGTTCATTCCTGACAGGACATATTTAGAGTGAGTTTGTGTTTGGAAACCTGCAGCTGATTGTTGCTCGACGCAGCTGCTTTACGCACTGAGGATCCGTCCGACGGTAAGAAAGAAGGAAAAAGCTGTAAACTTGCTCTCCGTTTTAGTTGAACTTGTGTGTTAACTTCTAGTTTCTCAGTGGCTCCTCTGGTTGTTTCACTCCTTCACTGTGTGATTGACATGTGCGGGTGGGTGCTGGAAGGGTTGGGTATCTCCAAACTGGCGCTCAAGGAAGGGGGAAAACCAGGGTTTACTGGGGAGATACCACGTCAAATGATGACTAGTTTTGCATCCTTTTAAAGTTAGAGAAGTGAAAACTCGCGTTCTGCCGTGTTCCCCTGTCTCCTACCATAGACACACACACACAGCAGACCCACCCTGTTTCTAGTCGCACAGTTTGGCAACCACAGGCAATAAAAGCAGTCGCTGCTTTACAACATGTTTGCATATCTGGTTTCATAATCTCACTGAAACCTGCAGCGTCATTAGAAAAGCTCATATCCACGTGCTGGTGTTGTTGTGGACTCCTGACAGAGTTATTTTACAGGCCACCTGTCCTGATTCACCTCAGGCTGCTGTTTGCATGGGCCTTGAAAGCCAGATATCCACTGTGAGGCAGCTACAGGTGTTGAGTTACCTGCAAACATCATCTATGTTTCATGACTGGTCATTCTGTGTGTGTGTGTGTGCGTCATTCCTATGCAGGTCAGGTGTTGTGTTCCCCCCCTGCTAAATCAGTGTACTTCACAATCACCTGATGTAAACTGAGCGTCTCAGGGCAGTTTTCAGGGAGTTAAGATGTCAGTCATGAGATGGTCAAACTAAAGAGCTGTGCTGTTCCTTGTAGAGAAATAATCAGTCTGAGTTGTTTCACCGCCATGTTCGTAGGTGTGTTTAGTGGTTTGGTACTTTGCTGGATAATCCAAGGAACTTGTTCATAAGATGAGGTGGACTTTCAGCAGTTTGGGAAATAAAAATCTTGTGATTTGAGTTTGAAAGTTTCACAAGAAGTCATATTTTGGGCCAAAGCTTCTCATGGCCTTTCTCGGTTTGTCATTGAAATAGTTTAGCTGTTTTCACAGGGTCAAAGTATTGGATTTCTGTAATGTGTGTGTGTATTGTAAATACAGTAGGGTTGCAATATTTATCTTCATAAATTGTCTATCTGTCAATTATTTGTGAAGAGTAACAAAAAAAGCACATCAGTTTCCCAAAGTTTTTACCTCCAAAGTGTTTTTTTTTCTGCCAAAAGCTCCAAACTTGAAGCGATTTTGTTTTTTTATGATAAAGGTGAAGGTGATAGCTGCCAGTTCTCAAGTTTAAAGACCCAAAACCATCAGATGTTTGGCAGTTTTTGCATGAAAACTGGCTACAATAGATAATCAGGGCCGCTGCTATAGCTCAACTGGTTGAGCTGGCGACCTATATACTGGGACTGCAGTCGGTCGTGGGTTCCAATCCAGCCCATTTGCTGCAGGTCCCTCTTGCATTGTTCTCCCCACTTTCCTGTCTCTCTCTTTACTGTCCTGTCAAATAAATGCAAAAAGGTAAAAATGAAAAAAAATAGATAATCAAAGTTACAGGTGACTGTTTGATTAGTTTAAGTGATATTCAGCTGTTTCAGCTCTGCAATATACTGCACATACACATCTCTCCAGAAAGTACTTGAGTGACACAAATGTGACAGACGCCCTGCGTTTATCTGTCATTTACTGTTTTTTGATCCTGCTCTGAATTAATACACTTATTTAAAATGTATAATTTTTTTTGAGTCTTAATGAAAAATGCATTCTGGATTATGCATTAATTTCCACTGACACGTGTCAACCTTTTGGTTCTTTCTGTTTTTGAGCCTGGGGCCATTTTTGATTCAAAGGTCCCATATTGTGCCTTTTTTCGGCAAATGAATCAAAGTCCCACATGTCCCCACAGTGCGTCTGTCAGGTTTTCAGCTCATAATACTGCTAAGATGATTCATTTCACCATGACTGTCTAACCTCTGGTTTTAGGGCTTCTCTAAATGGGCTGTGTTGCTCTGAAAACAATGCTGTTCCTGCCCTCTTCAGGAAGAACAGGCTGTCAGTGGAGCTGTCGATCACATTTAAGCTCGACAACTATTGGTTAGTTAGGCGGGGTGAAGTTTTGCTTGCCTGTACAGCTGGGAGGCTGTTTAGTTGTGGGAGGGCTTGAAAGAATCGATATTTTAATAGCTTTTTTTTAACGCCTCCAAGTTTATAACAACAATAAAAAAATATTTTTCACCGCATTGCACCTTTTAAAGAACCAGATGTTTGACATAAGATTCTGAGCACACGTACTGGACTTTCTTTGACACACCTTGCGGCCTTCATTGGTGGATGGACTTGGCCCAGTGGTTATCACGTGACCGGTGGAGAGTTTTCTCCACATTCCCCACACAACCCAGTATTTATTTATTTATTTTTATTTAGCCTTTATTTAACCGGGTATACGATGACCTCTTTTTCAAGGGAAGCCTGGCCAAGACAGCATCCTGACAAACATTGAAGTTACAACAATTAAAAACTAACAACACATAACAACATAAGTAAAATACATGCTAGATGTAAGCAACAAGATTAAGAGTTTGCATTGAAACAGCAAGTATGGAGGTGCTAAAAAATCTCTCACATGGTTTTTAGGGGTTTCAAGAGTTCCTTTAGAGTCAACGTGTTCTGCAGTGAGTTCCAGCCAGCAGGTGCAGAGTACTTAAAACAGACCTTTGGCACATTTAATAAGTACAAATCATTGGACTGTAAACCATAATTGCTGTGAGTTTTAGAAATTGAATCGCATAGATAGTGGGGGAGTAGACCTGGGATGGCTTTGGAAATAAAAGTATACCAGTGCGTAAGGCGGCGCGTCACCAAAGAGGACCACTCAGCTTGAGCATATAAAGTGCAGTGGTGAGTGAGGGCTCCACAACCCATGACAAACCTTAAAGCACCGTGATAGACAGAATCCAGACTTAGCAGACAGTTGGTAGGGGCATTCATATATAAAAGGTCGCAAGCACAGGGAGAAAGGTGGCAGCAACCAACTTTTTCCTGGCAGCAAAACCAGTAAGCGGCCCCGTGCTGTCTTGGGACTGAAATGCCAAACTTGGGTCACTTCTGTCAAACTGTTTTATTTTGAGAACAAGTGTCCTCTGCAAAACATCTGCATGTCATCACCAGATGTGGCCACGATGGTCTCTGAAGTGGTCTTTAAAGCGCTCTTCATGTGGCTGATGTTTAAAGCTGTTGAGCACACAACCAGTGGCTCACTTCAGCACTCTGTTGACAGCTGGGCTGCTCTGCAGGAGTGGAAACATATCAGGACCCCTTGACAGTATCATCACTTAAGACTTAGTTAGGCAGCTTTTTCTTAAAGTGCTGCCACTGTCAAGGATGTAAAAGTGAGAGGTTGTGATGATAGAAGGGAATTTGTTTACTGTGGCTTGTTGTTTTTTTCCAAAGCTGCACTTATTCGAAACCATTTTATAGTGAAACCTCTCTGATGCTATCCAAATTTATTCAGTCTGATGTGTGTTGTACATAATTAGTTAGATGCTGCGGGGGCTCTACCTTCTAATCTGTTCCAGTCCAAATACTACAAGCAAATATTTAAATCGCCGCTATCTCTCCCACTTTTCATAACATCATCCTAAACACGAGTAGGCTGAACATAAATGCTGAAATGCAACAAGAGTGCAAGTGAAGTGTAAACTTTTTGAAGTGTTTGGAACAGTTTCTAAAGGAATGAGAGGAATGTATGGCTAATCAGTCATCTGTGTGATTACTGGTGATGCTCAGAGGGGACTCAGATCTCACCAAGCGTTCAGAACTGCAGACGTTTGCACGCAGGATCTCTGCGAGTCTCCGCTGCAGCACGGTAGACGATGAGTAATGGTCACACTAATGTGATTAGATGTATGGCTTCAGGTCACAAGTTTGGTGATTGGGATCAGATTTGTGTTATCTTGTTTGTTGGTGCCTCTACTGCTGAGAAATATTTCATACTAGATTTTCTTAAATCGGAGAATTAGGTCACTTTGATAACAGGCAGGCGATTGAATGTAGATATTTTAAAAATTATCATGTTTCTTCATAAGATAAACAGTCAGAAAGGACGTGAACAACGTAAACTTGTGAGAATTTAGAGCAGAACAGGTGCAGTAGTCGCCATACCAGCAGGTGTTTGTGTGTGCTTCCCCTTCTCGGCCTGAATGAGCCGGCTCAGCTCTGTCTCGTGGTTGGGATTAACTCCACCCTCCTCACTCGCGCCCTGACGCTGACCCCGAACAGTGACAGACAAACATGCTACACAAAGTAGCAATGGCAGCATTTTATCTGAGCACAAAATGACACGTTGCTTCAACTGAACTGCTCTATGATTCAAACAGGCATTCCCAAATATATTGTGGCGTTTTCTTTTTGCTTGCTCTCTGAGACCCACTCTAATGTCTGCAAATGGTAAATATGTAGCTGGAGTCAGGAGGCAGTTAGCCTAGCTTAGCATAAGCTGAGAGCCTCCAAATTAAAAAAAAATATACCTATAAATCACTCTTATGCTAATCAATGAGCACATACATCTCATCGGATTAATCTGTACTGAACAGAAAAGTATTTAAAAAATGTTTTGGTGTTTTACAGGAAGATTCGTGCTGCAAGTATTTCTTATGAGTTTGAATTTTTGTTTGTGTAAAGATTAAACAAATAATATGCGTTTAATGAAATAGCTTTTTCGTGGACATACAGTTCTTTGCAAAAGTTTTTAGAGTTTGGATTCTTATTAGTAACACAATAAAATCAGGGAGGCATCAGATCAGTCCAACATTCAACATTTATCAGTGGCTACAGGAGTGTAGTTTGAACAAAGTTTACTACCGTTAAGAGACTGCAGAGTTAGACAGGTGAGTGTACTCTGCTTGTTTAATATATATGTACCATACTGCCTTTTACCAATGAACTCTGGCTGATGGGAGATGTCCATGCTTGCTTACTTTTGCTGGCTCTTGTAAGTACGACTTGCATGTGAAGCTATTTACAAGTGAGACACCGGTAA